AACCTGTGACGTCAATGGATAAAGATCTCCTAACCAAAGAAGAGACACGCACAGAGGCATGTTTCCCCATTCACATGGGGTATTTCTGCGCAAGGAATTGTCGACACTGAGCCTCAGCTGGGGTGGGGGGGGGCAGGGAGCCTTGTCCCAGAGGAGAAGAGAAATCCAGCTGGCAAAATGGGGACTGTAGTGGCCCTGCCTGCGGCCAAAGGCTGCACCAGCCGAAGGGACTCTTCACACCCTGAGTCAGCACACTGGCACCTGTGTCACCCAGAGGGCCACGCAGGCGGGGGAGGCTGGGGACAGCAGGCGCCGAAGAGGAGCCAAGCCCATGGTCCACTGTCCTGGTTCACTCAGTCCTGCGGGGGAAGTCCTCTCGCTCTCTCCACCTCCCAGGGGAGGCCATCAGAGCAGAAACACGGGGTAACTTGGCAAGGCTCAGTGCAAGAGCAGAGACCGGTACCCGCAGGAGCAGCCAGCCTCGGCCCCAGCACAGGCCCCTCTCAGAGGCTGTGGCTGAGACGCGGCCGGCCGTAAGCTCGGCTGACCACGCTGATCACTGAAGCTACAGAAGGGGGCGGGGCGGGAGCACAGGGGCAGGCGGATTTGGGCACTGCCCTCCCTCCAACTCAGGGCCAACCCACAGGGGGCCCCTCCCACCCCGGTTTTACTACAGGAACTGTGGATGCCAAGGGCGTGCCCGGGGCACATTCAATCAGGGTAGCGGTTTAACTTCCTCAAACTGAAAACAAAAGAAGGGGGGTGGGTGTTGGGCTCTGCTGAAACACGGGGGCAGCAGGGGAGCAGCAGGGCAGGAAGTGCAGGGGGTGGGTGCGACCCTTCACCCCTGGCGGGCCTGCGTCCAGCTTCCCTTGCACACGCGCTTGACCCATCGGTGGCCCTCTCAGCACTGATTCGGTGACTATAATTAAACAAAAGAGAGAAGAGGATGTGGCTTCAATCTGAACCCTTACATCACGAGAGCTCCACTCTGCGGAAATGGCTGCCAGAGAGAAGGACCGTGTTCCTAGGGATCCCACAGCCCGCTGGGAACTGCCCGTGCGTGACGGCTCGGTGTCACCGTGACTCCAGGGCCAGCTGTCCATCAGCGAGTGCCTGCCCTGCCCCGTGAGTCACCGCCATCACCTCACTTAACACACACCACCACCGCACAGGGATGCGACTGTTCATTCCGCTTGGGGGAAACTACAGCTTGGAAGCATGAAATAGCTCATCCAAGATCAGGTAGCTAATACGCGGCAGAGCCAGACTCGGCATCTGGAACCCAAATCAAAACAAAACAGAAGAAGCAGGGAAGACTCCGAGGGGCTGCTAATCCAACCCGGAGGCCGCAGGCCTAACGTCACGCAGGGTGTCGGCTGTGCGCAACGTCTTGCAAAGTGCCTTGTAGGGAACTGGACGGTGCTGACAGTGCCGCTCAGGATGTTTCCCGGGTGACCAGGGACTCAGAGTTACCCATGGTCCAGAGCAGAACGTCTGCCCACGGGAGTCCACCCACAGGCAGGTCTCCTGCCCAGCCGGGGGGCTCAGCCCGTCCCAGCAGGGCCTTCCACGGACATCAAGACATAAGAAGCCTGTCTTTGAGAAGACGGATGCGCTCAAGGTGCACGGCGATTTGAAGATTAACAAAGCAGCCCTTCCAAGTCTCTTCCAGGCGCCCCCGCCCAGGGACCAAGGCGCACAGGTTCACGAAACGGGCAGGCGCCATCATCTCACCTTCGGCCGTCTTTCCGATCCAGCCCACGGTCTCCCCGCATCCCCCGCCAGGAGAGGAGGAGGCCTCAGTCCTGTTGAAATGCCTGCTGATCAGGCCCCATGGGTGAGGGTAGAAGGGGAGGGCTCCTGCCTGACTCCTGTGCCCTTCAGGCCACCGTGCAGCCCAACGAAGACTCAGCATTGACACTCGGTGTCCGCTGAGGGACACGGGTGCTGAGTGACAAACCAGAGACCCATACCCTGAAATCAAGAAGTTAAAAACCAAAACAAGAAGAAAAAAAAGACTACTAGGTATTACTCCCCTTTTACAAAAATCTGACAGTTGGGTTAAAAAAAAAAAATGAGTCTTAGGAGCTACTGATGAGAACATTTAGTATGTCCTTGAAAATGGAAGCGACCTTCTCAGACCTGCCCGGGCAGACACTTGTCACGGCCAGAACAGCACGTCCACTGGGACCACGGAGCCTGCTGCGGGGCTCTGGAGTGAAATCACAGGATTTCCAGGCGTGTGACCTTGAGCAAGGTCACGGAATCCTGCATGGCCAGTCAGATGGGGGACTGTCCTCCTCTCCGGTGGTCCCTGCGGACAGCAAGGCTGCAGGGAGCCAGGTGCTCTTAGACAAGCCAGGACAGATGCCAGTCAGCTTCCTACCTGATTTAGCTTTGACAGTCACACAGGATACTTTTTTCTAATTCTGTCTCAAAAGGGCCATGCTCTTTTGCAAAAGTCAGACCTTAGCTCCAAAGTGAACACCAGCAACCCACAGTCCTCCCTTTAGAAGCTTCCTGCATCTTGGTGGGCCTTCCCGAGGCCCTGGGATGTCACGGGTTTTGGCTTTTCCACCACGGGTCCCTTCGCCCTCTTCCACACTCTGCCGTAAAGGCCAGGCCAGGCCTGGGGGAAGCCCTACCGCGGCTCCGCCTCGGCCACCACTTGCTTCCCGCAGCTCCCTGGGTCCGCGGGAGTCCTGGAGTCCACGCCTGCTCCTACGGTCTGTGACCTGGCGACGTCCACCCTACCCTGACGCGCTTCCCAGGTACCATGGTGTGCCAACGCTGGACAAGCCGCCCCTCACACTTGCTGATGCCTGAAATTCCTCCCTCAAGGAAGGGGGTCAAAGGTGACGCTTGAAAACGGGGAGCCCAGTGAGAGGGCACCTGTGGTCCCTAATCCCTCTGCTCTTTCCTGACGGTGACCTTGAGACTCCACCGTGCTGCCCTGCAGAGCCCTCCTCTCAACAGAAAGGACACACACTACTCACCTCTCCAGTGGGCAGGCAGAAGTCAGTGACACACGATCGCCTTAGAGAAGGACCTCAGAGACGGCACCAAACATTACCTCTTATATTTGTAAGTATGGCTAATGGAGACATCTCCAGGCAAGGCGGAACACAGGCGGGCAGAAAGGGCACTTTGTCAGGATCCTGCGGGGGTCAGATATCTAACCTCCCAAATGAGAATGTTCAAAGAGGCACATACCTGAATGCTAGAATTCAGAAAGGCCTGGGAGCCAGAGCAATAAAAGGAGAATGAACTTGAGGACAGGGGAAGGGAGCCACCTAACGCCACAGAGGACATTAACAGCAAAACCAGGAAAAGTGCCCGGGTCTGCAGACCTCAGCTGAGGAAGAGAAACGACAGGTGCCGCCCTCCACTGCAGACCGCAGAGCTGCTCCCTCCCCTTCAGCTTGTGCTGAAGCCACTAAAAGCTTTAGTGAACCCTAAAAGCCACCGGCTATCAAAGGCCGGGATGAGAGCCACCATGGACGCTTCTGATACCATTTTTATGGGTGAAAACGTGGAACAATAACCTACCTCTGCGGCTCCAGGAAGCCCATGCGCTGCCTGTGTGTTGTGCGCTCAGCTGGATTATAAAAGCCCGTGGAATTATTCCATTTGGGTTAAGCAACCACAGGCCCTTTACCTTCATTAATCCCCAAATGCTTCCCAGGCCTTTACTTCCCAATTAGCTCAAATCACAAGGAAGGAAAAACCAGTGCACACACCACTGGACCTCTCTCATTTGGATGCCATCAGACTCCTATGAGGAATAGCCTAAAAATATCCCAGGCCACTGGGGTAGAAGGCAGCGAGGTTTGATACCAAGATCTGTGCAGACACGCAAAAGGCATTCCAGACATGTGAGCTGAGTGGGCAAATGCATGGGACGTATGAGACCTGTGTCCAGAGGGCCCGTAACAGCTTTGTGTCAATGGACGTCCACGTCGCGGACCACTTTCCCAGGACCAGGAGACCATGATGCCCACAGCAGTCGTGAGAATTCCAAGACATCACATGGGTCCTCCCTTGGGGGCGATCCTTGGAGGAGTCAGCAATGAATATAAATCAGTGGCCTCCACCCCTCTAAAAAAGCACGTTATTAAAAAGAAAAAACATTACTGGAAAGAGTTTCTACAATCAAAGTCAGCTGGGGGGACAGCAGGGCCCGGCGGGGTCTGCTAACGAGAATGTAATGAGGAAACGGAAAGAGGAGAAATGGGACCCGGATGCACGGCACCCTGCCCAGCCAGCCGTCTCCTAAAAGAACCGAGAGCTCCACGGTGCCACGGATACGCCCAGGCGGCGGTCTCCTCACCTGCAATGCTGCTCCTTCCCACGTGGCCTATTACAGGCTCACCTTTCAAGTGTTGGCTCCAAGATCGTCTCTGTTATAATGATTTTCTTGGCTCTCTGAACCCCAGTTAGAACTGACACTGCCACGCCCTCTCCCATCTCCCTGACTACGTAACTTTATTTGGGGCATTTATATGCCAGCCGCCTAGTTAATGCATCTTGTTACACATAGCACTGAGAACTGTGACTGATACTTTGTATATATTTATTTAGGATATACCTGTTGAATAAGTGGATAAATGAGTGAATGAATGAATGAATGAATGAATTTTTAAGTGACTGATGCCAGGCACTGAGAGTTCTCAAGGGAGGATGTTGAAAATCTTGCCTCATTCACGTTGAAAATGCCACCCAGCCTTGCAGCCACCTTCAGAGTTCACAACCCCAAAACAAAAGTATGTACCAGGTCACAGAATACCCTGCACCTGTCCTCTGAGCATCTGATAACACCTTTTGAGTAGCGGTGACTTATTTTCCACGGGTGCGTCAAACCTTGTAACACGTCCCCACTTTGTTCTTCCACACTTCTGTCCCCACCCCTGGAGAAGAGCCTGCAGTCCCCCTGCCCCAGGTAGCTGCGCAGAGCAGCCGGCTGCGGCTCGGGGGGGCTGGCCGGGAGCGAGACTCACCTTTCCTCGTCCTTAAAGATGAACTTCCGCAGCTTGAGGTCGCGCAGCACCAGCCCGCCGTCGTGGCAGTGGGCCACGGCCGAGGCAATCTGGTAGAACAGTCTGGCCGCCTCCTCCTCCCTCAGCTTCTTGCAGGTGCGGACAAACGAATGCATGTCCCCATAACTTCGCTCAAAGAACACATAGGCTTTGGTCTCCCCCAGGATAATTTCGGTGATTTGGTTGATGTTGCTGTGAGCGGAGAGGCAGAAGCACGGGGCCAGGGACTCCTGGTAGCAGCTGATATCAAATACCTAGGGTGGGAGTAAGAGCAAGACCGAGAGTCAGAGGTGCCTCTTAGCAAGCCAGGTCCCGCGGTGCGAACACCTCCCAAGGGGACAGGCTTTTCAAGGGGCAAGCGGTGTGCTGACCTTGAACCGAGGCCACGCTGGGTCTGTGTCCTACCAGCTGTGTGGCCCTGAAGAAATCACTTGACATCTCTGAGCCTCCACGTCCTCACGTGTACAATGGGCAGGTGATACTTGCCTCACAGTGTTTGGAAGGGTAATCTCAGAAAATGAAGGTAAAAGTGTTTCGCAAGATGCAGTAATAATAAAACTTGACACAAATGGCAAGTTTTATTATTTCTCTATCCCAACTGCCCATTTATAGAACAATTTTAAAAAATCTGAATGTGACCCATCCCAAGCTGCATAGACAACACCTTACATTCAAAAAAAGAAAAAAGAAAAAAGAAAAATGTACATGAACACTATACAACTATAACAATTACAGACAACATACTTTGTGCTACACAATCATATCACATAGCATACCATCATATTAGCAATTAATAGGTCAAATACTAATCTATTAAAATATCAAATATATAGGTTTTCCCCTAATGGTGATCTAATTCAATACCTTCATTTTACAGATGGGGAAACTGAGGCTCAGAAAACAAGTCCAATCAAGCCCCCGGTGGCAGAGCTGGGAATAGGACGCGGGCCCAGTTAACAGAAAGGCAGACATGCGTCTTCCTCTATTCCCTCCAAGATTCAAGCTCAATGAACCAGTTATGCAACGACTTCCTATGAATCAAAGAGAGCCTGTGAAACGCCACCTCATTGTGGGGTTGTTATTTAAAAAGAAAATCCACCCTCCACTTCTTTTTGAAACAGACCTAAAGAGGTATTAGCCTACAGAGAATTTTTGAGGTTAAAAAAAAAAAAAACTTTCATTCATTCGTAGACCACGAAATCAGGACTACAAATTCCTGGGTTTGGAATGCGGTTTTACTATCTGCCTACGAATGTGCGCTCCTGAATCTACTCTGTGCCTTACAGGGCTCAGAGCAGGCTGGGGGCGCTCTGCTGGAGAGCAGCTAGGGCCACGCAGCTCTAACAACACACAATCTTATCAGTTCGCCATCACTGGGTTTCTTGCATTTCTTCTCATTAGTTAAAACATACTTTCCTTGACCAGCACTCTGCAGAGTACGGTGGGAAAATGCTGGCCTAGACATCCCCACATTTGAGGCTCTAATCCTGGCTGGGCCACCGCTAATCTGGATGAGGTAGATAAAAAGCATTTTGGGTCACGGGGCCTCCCTCCTCTTCGTGGACTGAAGACGTTGATTTAGAACTCCGCTGACCCTTTCGGGGTCCAGAGCCCACGTGAGAATCTGACAAAAGCTCTTGGCTGACCATGCCCGTTCTCAAATGCATGCTCACTACTGAATTTGTTTCAAGGGGAAAGCACACGTCTTCCAAAACCCACCCTGGGATACAGGCTGCTATTTAAGAATTGATGAGTTAAGTCACTCTTCGCTTCACAAAATAAAATCTGTGAATCAGACAGGGTGAGCAAGAACCTCAGAAGCGCCTGTGCTAAACCTGGGCGAGGAAGCCAAGAAACATTGTGAATGAACCGGAACGAGGCATCTCAGGAAAGCCCTCGAATTTAAGAATGAGTCCCTCAGCATCTCCAGAGACTACAAATCACACCCCGAGCCTGTCAAAGGATGACCTCCAAGCAGCGACCTCAGAGGTCCGTTCAATTAAGCATCTGAAATGCTTGAGCGAACCGTGACACCCAGACTGCAGGCAGCAGAGACCCAGGCCAGCCTCAGAAATTTCACAGAGAGTGACGTACGCCGAGCAGAGGCTAATGCAAGCGCCCGGCGTGAATATATCATAAGGCCCACGGTGCGCTTCGAAGCGCCAGGCTGCAGGCTCTGCGGCCCTGGGCAGGTGGAGCTATGATTGTTTATAATATACTTCCTGCCTCAAGTGCATTTTTAAAAGAATAAAAAGTGATTCTTGCTCAGCACCTTTAGCCTAGTATCCTGCCCCACTGCTGAAAAACCAAATGGACACAGACTTTAAAAAAGAAAATCAGACATCCTCATGGCAGCGTCAATAGGTAGCCATACACCCTTTGTAAAGAGACCAAATTCCAAGATGGTGGACAGAGCATGAAAAATAAAGCCAGTGCTAACGTTCTCCCAAACGAGGAGGCACCAAACTTTTATTAGTAGCTGTTACAGACATTTACAGGCTTGGATTGGTATTTAAACCATCACCTCCAAGTGCAAAATCAAGCCATAAGCCTGGTTGCCTGCTGCTTTTGAATGTTTAATTTGGAGACTTCGTTATATAATGATATAACGTGACAGTTCGGATAAAGCAGTAAGACTGGGCCATCTTTAATGGCATTTGCAAAAACAAGGGGGGGGGGGCGCCCATTCTGCCAAGATAGTAATATGTCAACCTGCACAGCAGCTACTAGCATTTCCATGAGAACATAAGCTAAAGACCCCTGAAGGCCCCCTCCCTTTGCTTCAAGTAGGCATGGAGACAATAAACAGGCTTGATTATTTTGGGTACATGACCCTCAAATCCCACCCCCCACACACGCACAATTAGCATCCTATAGAACTCTCTGTACGGTTCTCTAAACTGACATCTTTCCATTTGATCTGTTTTTGCAAAGACCTTTTCCTTGGGTCAACACAGAGCTAGGAGACAAGATCTTTATATTCCAAGACATCAAATGGAACTTGATCAATGTATAGGTTTCACTGTAAGCTGAGAGCTTACAGTATACATCTGAGGGTAGTTCATAGAAACAACGTTATAAAACCACTTGGAGCTTCCTAGCATACAGTCAACTACGCTTGCATGAGAAGTCATTAACATCACCTCTGCTTAAAAAAAAAAAAAAAAAGGCAGGAAAACAAGCCACCGTGTCTTAAAGGGATGACCTCTGTCAGGCAGAACAATGATACGGCACTTAAATCCACTTGCAGCCACACAGTAATTGGTGCGGGGCTGCTGATTCAATCTTTGCAATAACGAAACCAGCAGATTAAGTACAGTTTCAGGCCAGAGAGCAAGTCTGCCAATGACACTGTAAGGTCAGCCCCAAGTGAAATATGTCACGCACAACCTGAAGGGAGAAAGAAAGAGCGGGGGCCGGGGTCACCTCTGCTTTTAAACAAAGAAATAACAGCAAGATGCGCCTGCAGAATTTGGTGGCAGAGCCTCCTCAGTTAAAAGCGTCTCCAGCCTTTGAAAAATATGAAAATGCTGAACCGAAGTTGAGCAAAAGGAGTGAGAACATTCACTGCTGGGTGATTGTGCATATTTCCTAGCAGAGTGGCAGCTCTGTGGAACTCATTCATTTCAAAGGATGACTACCCTATTGTGCAACGTTGTAGGTCTTCTGAGAATTCAATCCAGCTCTGAATAGCCTACTGAATTTTGGTTAACCAGGCACAGTTGCTCTGGGTATCAATAACTTGGAGAAGATGCAAAATACCCAATGCTCAGCACAAGCCCAGAACAATATTTAAGAGTTTCTCATTTTCCCCTGAGGTCTGATCTGAAGAATTGCAAAACTGCCTGGAGACCTCCACAAAACCCATGTTTCACAATGAAACGCTCCAGTCCCCTCTGAAACACAGTCCACAAGGCAGGCTGTGGTTAATGGGAAAAGTGGCCAGCATTACGGGCAGCACAGCTGTGCAGAGTGGCCATTTCAAAGACAGCAGGGGTCCCCACCCCAGGACCCCCTTCCCGCCCACCCCCACCCGGGGTGAAAAACAACAGTGAGCAAATCTAAAATGAAGTGGCAATGAATTCTTGATCTCTGTCCAATTCCTGGGTAGCTGTGCGCTCTAATGTCTTTTTTTTTTCTTTTTTTCTTTTTTTCTTTTTTTCTTTTTTTGCAACTATTCTCGTGCTCATCCCCTTGTCTGGAGCCCTGTGTGTGCCTACAAAGACACACCAACACACAAACACAACCAGTCCCTGTTCCGGGTCCAAGACGGAAAGGAAACGGCAGTGTTCACCCCTATATTAGCACAGGTATTCCTGAGGCTCCAAGCCTTACAAGCAAAGGTGTGTGTTGGGGCGGGGGGCTGGGGGTCGGGCCGAGGGGTGTCCAAGCGCGGATGTCTGAGGATGGGAAGGAACCGACACAAGAGAGAACGGCTGGAAGGAGTCACTATTTCCTACGCCCAAAGGTGTGCAAGCGGCTTTGATTTCCACCCACAACCCTCCTTTTAAGGCTCCAGGCAGAAGAAAGCTCTTTGTAAACTCCTTCCCCGCGCTGGGCCCCTGGGCTCTGCCAGAGGGGACACCTTTGTGTCTCTTTTTAAAGGGCACCTTCGGAACAAAGGTTTAACACCTGCACGCTGCTAAGAACAATGGCTGCGAAAGGAATCTTCATCAATGCCTTGAAATTAGTGGGGGATCCCCTGTTCCTGCTGAGAAGGGGAGGGGGCTAGACACCGGGAGAAACCCCCTGGGCTGCAGGACCGGCGTCGCGCGGAGACGCTCCGCAAGCCTCGGGGAGCAACGCGTGTCCGTGGCCCTCGCGAGGTCCCGCCGCCCTCCGCGTCCTGGGCTCTCCCCAAAACGCCCCCGCCGCAGCCCGCCCCATTGTCTGCAACGCTCTAAAAACTTCGCAACAACTAGTGGCACAGGAACAAATAAATAAATAAACCCATTTAACAAGGCCACCGGTTAGGATTCGGCAACACCTCCCTTCCTCGGACACCAGCCGCTTGGCGACCTCCCGCCCCCTCCAAACGGCTGGGGAATCTTTTTAAAACACAAAAAGCAAAACAAAACCCCGGGCTCTTTACCTTGCACACCAGCTCCTCTCCGCTGTGCAGATGCACCGCACGGAAAACGTGGTCTCCCTCCAGAGGTTCCAACAATAAGTATTTCCCGATGCAAGAAACGCAATGCGACAAGTTCGGAGTCTCGGGCGGGCTCGGGGAGCCAAGGTTCGGGCTGAAACTCTGGCTGGGCTCCGCGGACCTTATAGACGACAACTCTTCGAAATCCTGGGTTTTGTTCCGCGATCTCCCATATCTCGCTATTGTGATGGGGGTAGACCTGTGTATGTTCATGAGTGTGGGGATCGCACTCGACAAACAAAAAAACCCGCTGGAGGGATGAGTCGCTGGCGAGCGCGGCGGCAGGCGCCTCCGTGCCACGGGTTTTAAAAGGGACGGGAAGAGGGCTCCGCCGAGAGTTAGAAGCCCCAGATGGGCGCCGCCGGGCACCTGGTCTGCTCCGAGCCCGGCTCCCGCGGGCACTCGGTCGGCAGTGGCTCGGGTCCTTTTGTTACCCCAAAGCGGCCAGCGATGTGCAGAATCTCCGCACTTTTAGTTTCTCTCTCTCCCTCTCTTTCCAGCGTGGATCTAGACGCGGAGCCGGGTGGCTGCAGTGGGAGCCGCAGCGCCGGGTCCCCCGGAGCGATCCCCAGGCAGGCTTCCGACTCGCAGACGGGGCGGCGGAGCCCTGCTCTAGTTGGTGCAATCTTCGGCGAGCGCGCGGTGGCGGCGGGCTCTCCACGCGTTAGGGACCCAACAAAAAGAAAAAGGAAATCAGCGCGGGTCTACCGGCTCGCGCCGCTCGGCAGACGGAATCCGCGCTGCACCCCCTTTTTTGGTGGAAAGGGTGGGGGGCGTGGAAGGAGGGGGTGCCGGAGAGGGTAGTTATCTACGATTTAACTGTAGATGGCGTCTGAGGCTTTTCCAAGATCGCAAGAGCTCTCCCAAAATTAAACAAACAGACCAAAAAAAAAAAAAAAAAAATAGCAAGAGAGCATTTAACTTAGAGCGGTCAGCGCTGCCAACAAAAGATTGCAAAAGCTGGGCGCAGAGTGGCGGCGCGGGCCAGGCGCAGGTACCGCGACAAAGCCCAGGGCTTGGCCGGCCGGCCGGAGGTCAGCACAGGCTCATGCTGTCGCCGCTCCTTGGCGCTCCAGGTCGTCCTCCGAAAAAAAAGGGGGGGAGGGGGGAGAGAAGTGCGGAAAGGCACCAGGGTAGATCAATGGTCTCCGATTTCTCCCGGCCGGAGCTTCCGGGGATCCTCCGGGCGCTGGAAGGGGATGCGCCCCCAGCCCTGCCAACCCGCGGCGTTCCTTTCCCGCTGGGTAACTGGCTCTTGCCTTGGAAGAATTTGCAACCACTCCGTCTCCCCCTACCCTAAACCCAATTGCCTGGCCGGGTGGCTTTTGGAGGAAACTGACGGCTTTTCTTCCTCTTCTTTTATTTGTTTCCTTCCCCCTCGGAGGTGAGAGGAACGTGTGTTTAAAATTGAAGGGGATGGCCGACGCTGCCCGAGGCCAATCCCCGAGCTCAGCACGCCCGCATCTCCTGGCGAGGCGGTATTAATAGTTACTTACGTGGCCGGGGTTCTCTGAGCGAGCCGGGCCGGGTGTGCGCGTGTGTGCGCGCGCGCGCCTCGCTCGCGCCGGGTCTCCCCATTCAATGTCACCGACACATTTCCACGGAGCCTCCGCCCCCCCTCGGCCCCCGCCACTGGCTCAGCCCCGAGCCGGCCCCGCCCCTCCCCCGGCCGGGCCCCCTCATTGAGCCGGGCTCCCATCAATCAGCTTCGCGGCTGCCAGTCGCCGGCCGGCTCCCCGCGCCCGCCGGCGGCGCGGGCGGCTGCCACTGCCATTGCAGCTCCCGGTCGGGGCGCGGGCCCTGGCCTCGCTGCTCCCGAGCTCGGCCCCGGCTCGGTAAACAAAGTGCAATATCCTTCCGCGGCCCAGAGCTGAGGAGTGAGGTCACAGGCCGCGGGGACGCAGGGTCTGGGCGGCGCGGAAACGACCCACCGGTACCTCCCTAGCAGCTCCAGCAGTTCCTAATGTGCTTCATACCTAGTTCGTCTTCCCGGCGCTCTCCCCCAGAAAGCCAGGCATCCTCGGAGCATCAGGCCACCGCTGCTCAGAGGTTGGAGGGAGCCAGGAGCTTTCTCTGTCGGCGAAGAAAGCATTTGGATGGGATGCCGCATGGGGTTGCAGATTAGTTCCATTATTTTTTTTTCCCCAACATCCTCCCGCCCATTTAAAAAGAAATTGATGTCTTAATTTTAGTTGGTCTTACCCTCCTCCTGCCACTGTGCCCCAGGCCCTTGAGTATTTTCAGCAGGCCGGCTGGCTGAAGGCACCCTTTGACTCAGACCAAATTTAATCATTAATTCCTTTTCCTCCTCAGTGCCCCAAGTGACACAGGCACCCCGCACCCACGCCTGGCTGCTGCAGGCGCTCCTGGCTTCAGGGTCCTCCTCTCTTAGGGCACCCCCCGGCGACACGGGGGCCTCAAATGCATTCAGAATTGAGAGTCAGGTAGGCCTGCTGTTTCGTGCTCTCCCCTATCCCCCAAATATTCTCAACTTCCTGGGGAGGTTCCATTTGTGTGGTTTGGGCACACCGGATAGGGGGCCCGGCTCCGGCAGAGGTTTGAAACTCCAGGCCTTACTCTAGTGTGTGTGTCCTGGTACCGGAGCAGCAGTCTGATTGGGGGACCCGCTAATCCAAAACAAAAATAATAGTCAAGGGACTGGGAAGGGGGGTGCGGTTTGGAAGGCTCTCCAGGCCTCTGAGCTTTTCTATGCATGTATGCATATTTTCTAGAGGGAGAGGGGAGGGGGGGGGCCACATCATCTATTTATTGTCCATAGTAGGACCCTTTTGACTAAAAAGGAGAGCTATTTATAATTATGCCCAGTCCTGCATATTTACAACTTATAATTACGCACAACCAAGTTACTCTGGCGATAAGAGGTCCCTGGGAAGTGTGCCAAAGAGGACGCAGCAGGACCCAGAGTTGGAAGAGGTCAAACGGTCACCCTGCCTCCTGGCACATCTCCTCCTCCTCCTGAGCAACCTGCCTAGGACTAGGTCATCTGTCCTCCTAGGCTGTCACTGTGACTGCTGAGCAGGGTCCCTTAATCCAGTCTTGTTCCAGGAAGACTCTTGTGGTCTCCTGCCTGTCTCAAGGGCCGGCCCTAAGGCAGCTTCTGTTGATGGATCAGGAAGACCCAGGCCTTCTCTCTTCAATGGCCACCAACAGGGCTTTATTACCGGGGCTGGGAGACCTGCTTCCAGCCCTGACTGTGTCCCTGACTTCCAGTTGAGTCAACACGTGTTTTCCCTTCCTTGTGTCTCCTTTTCTTCAACTGTAAAATAAAAAGTATAACACACACCTCCACCCCCGCTCAGCTCATATGATTGCTTTAGAATTATATTTTCAATTCCAGGAAATCTATGGTTTACTATAAGCCGGGCTCGGTGCTGGGTGTTAAGGACCAGAGTATGAGTAAGATTTAGTTTCCGCCACCCAAGAGCTCAGAGGCTAGCCCCAGAGAAAAACAAATACTTAATCTCATTGTGTAACAATGTGGCAATTAGAATTTCAAGGCATCAGGAAAGCAGAAAGAAACAACTTCTCTTGGACTTCAGGGAGTTTCCCCAGAAGATGTTATTTTTTTTTAATCTTGAATTAATCCAAATATCCATTGGAACCTACTGGGTATGCACCAGACGCTGGGTATAGAGATACAATGACTTAAAAAAAATATATTTGTCTATGTGGATCTTGAAAAAATTCTATGAGTCATAACATAAGATAAATAAGAGATTGTCGCTGGCATTTCAGGCAGAGAGAAAGAATGTGCAGAAGCGAAGCAGCTAGTAACTCACCATGGCTCCAGTACCGGCAGTTTGGGAGCAGTGGCCAGGCATGTGGCTGGCCAAGTGTATCGGGATTAGAATGGGGAGGGGCCAACAGATCAGCTAAAGACCACGATTTTAGCAGTGGAGCAGAAACAGTCAAGGCTGATGTTGAATCGGGAAGCAACATGGTTGGACTGAGGTTTTAGAAAGGTCACGCAGGAAAGTCATACAGAATAAAAAAACCATTGAGCTTCCAAGAAATAGGGAGAGAGAGTAGCCTGGAGAGAACAAGAAAATTGTAAACTCAGAGGGATGTGTAACTGGTACAATGCACGACTGATAGTGTATTTATCACTTCTGATGAAATTATACAGTGGCCACTGGCCTGCCCATTCTCCAAGACCAAATTCATGACCTTTGGAAGCTACTACTGTGCAAGATCAATTAGATAATTTACACCAAGTGCCTCAATATCTCAATATTCATGCGTATTGACATTACTTCTCAGGTTTAAAAAAATAAAACATCTAGTAGGAAGATCCGGGTTGCGATCTTCATTCGTTCACTTTTTAGCTATAAGAACTTAGCTGAACTTAGAATACCTATAATTATAAAGTGGACTGATAACCTAAATTTTACCTAACACATAAAAATTATGGCTGATGTGTGTAAAGCAACTAGCAACCTGTCTTCCACGTTATAAATAAATACTTGTTATTATTATTGGAATACATCCTCAGAAAGCAATCCAACATGCGACAAGACTAATAGGTAAAATGCTACAGTATCAATAAAATGTGTGGGAATTGTTAAACATACAGCTGTAGGAATAGTTAAATACAATATGTAGCTATGATAAAATATGTGCTAATTAAAACAAAGATTATAAATTACAGGGAAACATTTAAACCAGTGCCCTCTGTAGGACAGTCAAATCCATTTGCCTGCTGTGTGTGCTCTCCAGATCACTCTCTATCTTGAAATGTATTTAGCTGCTCCTTCGTTCACTTCATGGCTCTTTAGTTCATTAGTTTAGCAAACATGCCGTAGGTGCCTGTCCACGTGAAGCCCGGAGCTAAACACCGCCTGTTGATCAAATGAAGGGTGTTTGAGAACAGCTTCTCAGATGGCTATCTCACCTAAGGCTGATCTGTACCATAGGCGATGGCATTCATTTTTCCTAAACGCCTCTTACAGGAAACCATACCTAGGCCCAAAACTCTGTGACAAACTTCTCAGACAAACTGTAGAGAATGCCACCTTATGCTACTGCCCAGGCCGTGTGGACAGCATGACTCCAGAACATTCCATTCTCTCTGACGCCGCTGTGAATGGAACCCCTGGAGTTGTGCAGGATGTAGCTGTCTTGGCCGGGCGCGGAACCTGAAGCACAGGCACGTCAGGCTGCAGTTCAAGAACTGCCCCGCAGCGTCGTCCCTCCGTCTCCTGGTTCCGCGCCCGGTGGCTGCCCACCGCCCTGCGGACTCCAGTTTTCCCGGCTCAGCTGACACCTGATTGGGATCCTCCCGTAACTGTGATTTCTTTTCTCATTTTTTAAACAGCACACATTCGGACAGCTGTTTATTTACAAGGTGATTCCTAGCACTGCCTATTTAAAGGTACTTGATCATTTGTTTGTTTGTTTGTTTGTTTTACTGTGGCTAGGTAGGGGATATGTGTTTCTTCTCGGATAAATGGTCCCCTGGGAGAAGTTCAGTGCATAAATACAGAAGGAATTGGCGTGGAGGGACCCTTTTCTCCCAGGCCCTGGTCTTGTGTCTCAACTTCTCGCACAGGAACAGAGCCGTGGAGTGCTGGCTCACCGCGAGGTGAATACAGGGGAAATTGTGTTGGTGCTCTTCCCCATAGAGGAGGGTGCAACCCCAGTGTATGGGATTTTCTGGGTGCTGTAGGTTACCTACCGTCCTGTCACGTATTGCTGAGCAGCTAACAGAAAGACGCGAAAACAGGTAAAGAAAGAACCAGCTATTCCAGGAAATGCTACAAATCGACATGTTACT